TACATGGCATATATAGGCAGCGCGCGCGCGTACACACACACACACACACACACGCACGCACACGTGCACACACACACACACGCGTGTGCACCAATCTCTTCTATGGTTCAGTGCTTACATAACACACAATGCTCATCTTCAATTGATGCAACTCAGTAATTTTTATTGCAACTGGAAGACAATACATCACAGAAACTTTATGGTAGGTCTGGGGAAGTGTTATTTACAATAAATGATGAAGTAGTTTGTCTTTGGCAATATGATTACACATGAAGAACGCAAAATGCTGTATGGATCCCTCCCAAGCGACACCAAGTCCCCCGAGCTCAGCTGACGGCGCCATCTCCACACCGCTGCTGTAGGCAAATGCAAACACCACCGAACATGATTTTCTTTCTCCTCTGAGTCCCCCCTTTCTGTTCATGATATTGGCAGTTTCATACAGAAAAAAAAAAATTGGCTTCTGAAGAAATTATTACTCTTGTAAATTAATTTGGCCTTGTCGATCTGTTGGCCTGGAAAGGTCGGGTGACCTTAAGATTCAGCCTCAACCTCTCGGTCTTTTCACTGCTTTATCAATATGGTTGATTTCTGTAAAACTAAAACAAAACTCAGAAACGTTACAGGATGAGAGTATTAAAGATGTCCATGGAGCTGTGTTTGGGACACACATAGATACTTTTTCCACTCCCATGTTCACCATGGCAGTAGAGGCAGTGGCCATGACGGTGTGGAACTGGCTGGGCCAGCTATGGCCTTAGATGGCTTCAACACACATACTCAAGAAATGGTGAATGCATCCATAACAGAAATGTGCTGTTTCCTCTAAAGCATGGGAAGTGGGGGAAACCAGGTATGAAAAGATAACATACAATTTCTAAAGTTTGACAGGATCACCATATCGAAGTCTTTGAGAATCCAATATGGAGTATCAATTATTTGCAAAAGGGTGGAGAAGGCATGCTCTCCGCTTTTGCAAATGAAACACAGTGGAGAAACACTGCTGTAGAGATCTCAAATAAAGAGTCTTGACTTCAATACTAACGAGATAGGAAGGGTACTTGTGAGCATCCCACAGCAAATCAGAAATGATCGTTCCACAGCGGTCTGATTCCAGAAGCTCGACAGCCCGAGGCAGCACCATAGACATATCCATTTCGGCCATGAAAAAGTGGATTTATTTTAAAAATGGTGTTTTCCTTCCTTAATTTTTGGTCAGTGAAGCTAGCACTTGTTTGCTGAAGGGTGGAAGAGTGACCAAGTCACACCCAATTTTCATGATAAAGCAACCGAGTGGACAAGTCTGTGCTTAATTCAAGAATAGCCAGCAGGAGAGAGGACGCTGGGAGCTAGCCACCATGGCTGGTGCGCTCTCAAGCGAAGAGGGGTTAACAGATGACTTCACGAAGGTGGGCAGGTCTATACAGAACACTGAATGCCGTGTGTAACTCCTCATGACATCCCAAGAAACAGGAACACCACACAATGTATATACTTTGATTTACACATTCCATTACAAAGAAAAAAAAAATAAAAAGAAGACACCATTACAATTCTGTAACTGTGTTAACTGCAATAGAAACCAAAGTCTAGTCTGACAGGTAACTAAAAAGGGTTTATCACGTAGGTTATATAGCAAAAGTGTTGATGTATATTATATATAGTAGTATAAATAATAAAAAAGTATTATTTAAATTAGATCACAGTGCTGCATCATGTGCCTAACAGTGTTTGATATAGTACTGGTGGGCTGGGACCTACAACACGAAGGACTGAACTGTCAACACTGGCAAGTCACAATCAAGAGGGGACATATGTTTCAATGTTTTCTTTCGGTGGCAAAATAATAATAATAAAAAACTTCTGAAGATGAAAGAAAAGGACTTCTCTGGAGAAACAAAGAAATCAATTGCAACATCTGGGCAGCTGTGATCCACCAGAAAGAAATGAGTCCCGACCTGAATAAGGTTTGAAAGGGGGAGGGAAATCACACTGAATTTAGTCCAATCCCATACGCGGGAAAACATCCCACACAGGTCACTTGTCCCTATCTCCGGCAACATGTTATAGCCTCCCCACCTCCTGAGAGGCTGGAGGTCCCAGAGTGGCAGTACTAAAACCCAAACTAGTGGTCTGGGGTGCTGAGTATGGGCCTGCTGTGTTGGACTCTTAGGCTGGGCACCAAAGCCATTCTCTCTTGCCTGGGTACCACTGAATGCAATACTGTAGAATGTTCCATGGTAGGAACGGCTATGAACAGAAAGCACAAGACATGCTGAATGACTCTCCAAGAGAAATCTATTCTTGGGAAAGGACACTAACCCATTCCCCCTTAAAGAAAGACCCAGCCAAAGATGCTTCAGCTGTCCTGACCACGGTTTCCCTACACAGGTGAGTTTGGCTGGCCTCTGGTTTCAGTGAGCCAGCTTTACCAAAAGAACTCTTGAAAAATATACTGACTGGAGAGGGGGAGGGAAGTAGGAGCTTGTGATATGTCAGAAACAAAATCTATGATGCGAATCCTTTCCACAAAGTACTGGAGGAAGAAGAAAGACAACCAAGGGTAGGATAAAATGTCGATGTGTATTTCACCTAAGAAAAGAAGGCCACTGCCTCTTCCCTTAAATGTGTCCAAGGGCCAACAGCCAGTGGTTGTAATGTCAACGGTGCTGATGTGGTCACTGCTGTTTCCAAAGCATCTGTAAATATTGCTATAGTTCCCCGTTTCCCCCCGCCCCCCTGCCCCATGTGAGTACATGAGATCCTGGAATGACACATGAACCACAAAGAACACCACACCCCTTTAAAGATGCTCAGGCGATCTGTCAGACTAATGGATACACAGGCTAGTTTGAAAGCTAAAAGAACACCTGACGTTTGGGAAGAAAGTCCAAGACTAAAGTGAATTACACTTAAGCAAAATATTCTTTCACAAATAGGCTTGTGCTTAAATTCTCTACTGCTCTTGGGGGAGGGGAAAGAGAGGGTGCCTCCTGCCCCTTGGCTTGTTAAGGACACGGACAGCCTCATTCGGCAGACTTTGCTACAAACGTCCACGTACACATTGATAACTTTGTTTTCGCCTCAACAGTCAAAATACAGAGTTAAACACAATTGAGCCATTGTTTTGGTTATGCATAATGTGTATGCCTCCAAAACAGAAGGAAAATAGAAAAAGGTACCCTTACTAAAGTTTCCCCAACAAGTCTTCCAGAAAATTCCAACAAAGGCGCCAAGGGAGGCTCAGGAAAATAACACTTAGAAAGCTGCCCGATGAGGTATTTATGCAAAAAGAGTGGTTCTGGGGTTCAGAACACACTTGTATAAGATAGTTTCCTAGATCTCCGAGAGATCAGAAAAGTAAATCACACACACACTGCATCTTGTTATCTCTGAAAGAGGCCTCCGCCCCTTCCGAAAAATGAAACGAGGGGAGACAGCCCACGTGGGGTTTTCATCGGAAGAAGTCCCCTGCCAGAAACAGTGTTGAGAGCTTACCTTCGCCTTCAGTAGAGGTCTGAGTCTCACCATCTTGGGGGTGGGGAGGGTGGTCTTTTGGACTTGGTTAGGTGACAACAGAAATCAAAATGTGGCTCAGGTTCCAGAGCTATGGATGGCTTGTAGGGCATCAGAGGTTTGTGGAGAAGGAGAGATCAGAGCACTGGAAAAACTACAGCCTGCCCTGAAGTGGGAGCCCTCTCCCCATTCTCTCTGAAGCTGCCTTCAGGTTAGGTAGGGGGATGCACCAGATAACCTGTCTTTTCTTCCAGGTGGATGCAGTTGCCATGGTATCAGGTTCTGACAGGTGGACATAGCTTTAAAGGCCCACTACTGTCCTGTTTCAAAAGTCCAAGGTCACCACAGTTTTCTCCCTCTCCCAAACACCTGACCCTGAGCCATGGTAGTGTTTTTTGTTTAAGAAGTTCCCTCCATTTGGATGGAAGGCCATATGGTTTTAGGGATTTCTCTTTAGACCTCAAGGAACAACAATTTATTTTTTGGCAAAGGTAACTGGAGTTTCTGGCTTTGTGTGACATGGTCTGGTTGTTATTCAGCTCTCACTATCTAGGTGGTCTTAGTCCCAGGGCGGTTACTGCTGAAGAAGGCAGAGATGGCCAGAGCCCCCTTCTCACGCGAAATCACACAGCCACAGTAAAACATGTAGGGCTGGTCCATCTAAGCCCATTATCACTTACTTCCTCCTACCCATGTACCCTATCTCCTACCCTCACCCAGTAAGGCCCATTAGCATGTTTCCCCTTCTTCTGGCGAATTTGCATAATTATTCACTGCCTTTTTCCTAGAACCAAATCACAGAAATGATTTTTATCAAGTAAGCGTCCCATCATTCTCTTGACTCATCATACACACTACTAAGTCTGCCCTCGAATTATTGCGTCATGTTAAACACATACAGACAAAGGGAAGGACACACTCTTCAGCAGAGAGTCAGAGGGGGTCGGGGCTGAGTGCGGACAAGGCAGTACAGAGCTCAACCATCCAAGCCCTACCAGAGTATGAAGATAATTTATATTGCAGAGTAAGTTCCCCAACAGTCAGAGTTTGTCCCTGAAGATTAAACCTTAAACACCTGCTTCAAAAAAAAAAAAAAAAAATATCAAAACAAAGTAACAATAACAGAAAAAAAAAAAAAAAAAAAGAAAAAGATTTAAAAAAAAGAAGGAAAAAGAACAAAAGAACCTCTAAGCCTAAGGGCTTAAAAATTAGAGGCATAGCCTTCTCTCTATTTTCTATATTTATATGAAAATAATTCATGCTTCATGCTAAATACATTATTTACCTTACAAGAACTTTGTTATTTTTGAATAAAAAAAAGTTTGTTTTTGTGGTTGTTTTTTTCTTTTTTTTTCTTTTCTTTTTTTCTCTTCAAAGGAATCCATGCATCGTGGATCAGAAATTTCTGCTGGCTACACTGGCTGAATGTGAAAATCACTGATTTTTTTTTTTTTTTCAAAAAAAAAAAAAAAAAAAAAAAAAAAAGAAGAAGAAGAAATGAGTCCTGACATTAATTGCAAGCCCTTTTTGGGGGCAGTATAAGAGTTGTATTGTTTACCATGTTTTTGCTTTTCGTGTCCATCAATGTGCCTTTAACCTCTTAAAAAGACACCTCAATACTAATGGCAGTTTCTGTAGCACCCTCCCCCACCCCAAACTTGGATCAGATTGTTTTGATGGGAAATAATCTGTACCATTTTTCCTTTCTTAACAGCTACTGTCATGTCTTGGGCTTGAGTTAAAAGGACACAGCCTGCTTTCTGTATCAGCTTTAAGTCTCGTGTGCATGTGTGCATGCGTGTGTGCGTGTGCGCAGGCCAACCTTCAGGCTTATGGCTTTTGGAAAGTCTTCTTACTTTAACATAGAGCAGGATTCAGTGGTTAGCAATGGCTCTAAGAATTCTCCCTGTCTCTCCTCCTTAGTCACTGACACCCGATGAGATGGTACCAGGTTCAGGCTTAAGAAGTACAGACTACTGGCAGCTGAGCCCTGGGCTGGCTATATGGCAATGCCATTGGCGTGCCAGAGCACGGTGTTACCCTTAGAGGACACCGTTCCGAGGGGCACACGGAGCTCTTCAGTTCCTGAGCTGGCTCCCCAGTTTCCGAACACAACTGACTTCTTAAACCTAAGGGTTGGCCTGAGCGTGGTGATCCTGCATGCGTGCGCCACCTAGGTGGCACAGGAGTGTTCCTGTGACATTAATGTTGACATCCCTGTGGGTTCAGCCACAGTTTTCTGACAGGCTGCAGGAAGAAATGGTTAATTTTGGCTTTTTGTTTGTTTGTTTTTTTCCTTTCGGTTTTTGTCTTCAAATAAAGAAAAGCTTTTGTAAAACGGCTGAGTGTCAATATGAGTTCTATGGCTTCAATCTCCTTTAAACATAAAATTCTTAAGGGTCCAAAACCAAAGGAGTGGGGGGCAAATTAAAAAAATAAAAAAAAAGAAAGAAAAGAAAACCAAACCAACAAAAGGCAAATAAAAAAAAAAAAGAAAGAAAAAGAAAAAAGAAAAGGAAAAAAATTGTTGATATTGCCACAAATCATTAGAAATCTCCTGACATGCTGAAACCAAATGGCCATAAGTTCAAAACAAATCAGAGACTTGTTTCAGTTTTTTGTGGTTTCCTTTTGTTCTTTCTGCCCCTTGGCCGTCCGATTGGTGATGTTGTTCAAACAGGACCGAATCCCTGCCAAGTGCAGAAGAGAACCGGCCGCCTCCTTCATCTCCTCATCGTCGCTCTCGGGGGGTTTTTCCGTGCGTCTCTTTTTGAGGGGCAGTGTGTCGCTGGGGACCTTCCTGGCCTTGGCGAAGTGCTGTCGCTTCTTGTGCTGGGATGCGTATCCGCTGTCCCCCAGGGCATCCTTGGCCTCCTTCTGGCTGGGTTTCCTGTCATCCTCCTCTGCTTCACTGTGGCTCTCATGGCTCTGGAAGCTTCCCTCACTGCCCTCCTGGCTCCCCTTGGTGGCAAACTCGTAGTGGTCATCAGCTGAGGAGGACGAGGAGGAGATGGAGTCGCTGGCCGGAGAGGTGCTTCGAGCATTGGAGGACTTGGCACTACTGTAGTTATGGTCCTCCTTGGGGTCGCCACTGACCACTGGGGAGCCACACGGCGGCTCACTCTCAGTCCGCATCCGGCAACTGGTGATGCTATTCCTGCAGATGGAGAGGAAAACAACAAATTACGTCTCCTCTGGTGAAGACTGGCAGAAGAAGCTGGGCCCCTGCAAACACTGCTAGCAATTCCACAACATGGCTAATAGGTGCATGCGCTCTGCAGACTGGACCCCCATCCCCACCCTTGTCTTTCCTGCTTATCCCTCCCCGTACCCGTGGCCTGAGATGCCAAAACCAATACTGTGAGGTGACTGCCAAGGAACCTGTCTTTTACACACTAGCCCTAGCACCGTGGAGTAATGCACCACCGGCCGGTGCTCGCCGGGCACCTGAGATGAAGGCATAGTCTCTTCTGCACCTGGTGCTTGAGGTGGCATTTGTCAGAAGGCTAAATACAACGTGAGAAGAGTCCTGCCCTGGTGACAGCTACTCACCCAGGCATCCTCCCTCTCACCCAGCCTGCCCATGTTCACTGAGCATGTAAGAGAGGGGCTTCGCCTCACAGAGAGAGAACCCAGGGGAGCTGCTAATGAAGATTCTAGAATCTCAACAAAACGGAAGTCAGGTCTGGTTCATGGAGGAGAGGGTGGTGAGTTGCTGTCCCTTGAGATCCCCACCAACAGATGACCTGCTGAGCCCACAGTCATCAAGCAGACGGTAGCCTCCTCACGTCACATGTGTGAGAAGTGAGCGCTACAGAGTCTGGCGACTTACTAAAGCCACATAGTAAGACAGAGTTGGGACTTAAGCCAAAAGGTAAGTGTTTGGCTACACCACTTGAACCAACTTTCTCCTGCAAGTCCCTACAGCATGGCTCCCTGCTAGAACTTCTCGCTGGCTCTCCCGGAGCCCGTCATACCCTGGGCCATGTTTTGTGTTGTGTATCGCTTTGTCTGGGAGGCCACTGACCACCCTGTCTCCTCACTGGGAAGTAGGGAGAGGGAATGTGCCCACCTTCTGTCACCTTCCTGATGTGCCTGGCACACAGCTCAGGGTAAGTGGAAGTCTGAGGGGTGGGTGAGCACAGGAGGCATAGGTTACCTATAGGCAAAGGGTGAATGAATGGGGCTAGGTAGGGAACATTCTGGAGAAAAAAAAAAAAAAATGGCATATGAGATGTGATGGTGCACCGGGCTGGCTCCGAGGAAGAATATCTGCTCGCTTATTATCTTTTCCTACCTCTCCTCTCCTGCCAAGAAGCCCCACTTCCCAGTGATGCTGAATATATATCCTGGAGAGCTTCCTGAGCTTCCTGAGGATTCCTAGGACGGGAGTCCATCAAGGGCTGGCTTCAGGAGACAGCCCTGAAGTTTAGTGCCCGCCCTCCTCAGGCGCACCCTGTAGCTTTCCTTTCCTTTCCTGCCTCGGGTGCACAACCGTGGCTGCCATAGGTTACTGGTGAGTATTACCACGTATGCATGAGAAGTGTCACCTCAATAGTATCAAAAGCAGACACAAACCTATGTCATACAGATGTTTTTCTGAATCTTTTTTGTTGTTGTTGGGCATAGATACTGTGAAACAAAACCCCAAATTCTATTAAAGTATGAAACAGTTTCTTAGGGAACCTGAACACCTTCGGAGAAGTGAATTGGGCTGTGGTTAGCTTTTAATGAAGCAACTCCGTTATGAACCCTTATTTAAAAATATTCAATGTGTGTGGTCACAAATGTGGAGGTCAGAGGGCAACTTTATGGAGGCCTTCTCTCCTTTTCTTTGTACGTTCTGGGGGTCATGCTTAGGTTGTCAGGCTTATTGAGCAAGTCCTCCTAGCCCCAGATCCTGATGTTCACAATAACCTGGGATTTACCCACAATTTCAGTACAGGAGGTCAGCAGACTGTGGCCCACGGTTGAGCAAACACCAGAAGAGCAAACACCAGAAGACCCGGCAGGCAGCAGGACAAAGGCCCACAGATTTGCTGTCTAGTTAGTGGGTCTGGTTAAGACGCCATGTTTATTGTGATTTCTTTTTCCCTTTTTTTCCTTGTATGTATCCTTTCTTTTCTTTTCCCATTTTTTTATAAAAAGGTGAAGGCAGATGGGAAAATGTCAGAGAGGAAGCTGTTGGAGACCAACTTCACGCCTGATGACTCAGTCTTCTAAGTGGACGACCTCTTCTGCAGGAGAACCCATGTTGATAAGGGGAGTGGAAAGTGGTGTTCTATGCTTGTGGATCCTGTGCTTTGGAGGGGACTAACCAGAACCAGCCTGCCTGTGAGAGTGTTTGCACACCCAGCTCGGAGTATCACCCAGCTCAGCCATCTACAGATAAACAAAATCACAGAGACACCCAAGACCTCTCCCATTGTGAAGTCCTGGTCTTGTTAGTACTCAAACCTAGATGGTCAGGCAGGCATTGGTGGTGCACGTCTTTAATCCCAGCACTCGTGAGGCAGAGGCAAGTAGATCTCTGTGAGTTCGAGGACAGCCTGTTCTACAGAGAGACTTCTATGACAGCTGAGTCTACACGGCGAAACCCTGTCACTAAAACCAACAAACAACCCAAAACAAGACTGTTCAATTGGAACCGTAAACATCTCCCCAAAGTCGCTAGAAGGATGGTATACTGTGCAGACAGGGAAGCAGTACAAACACAGCCGGAAACTTCTGGCTGGAGACAAGCACATCGGTACGCCTTTAGGGCGTGAGAACTGGAATACAGCCGGATCTCATTCTTACTTAATGACATTAACTTTCTCTGAGATTTCAGCACAGGTTTATAATCCATAAATTACACAGCAGACTCTGCAGGGAGTGACAAGCTCGTTCAATTATTAATAACTTGGCGCACAGTGACTCACAATGGTGTAGCCAGCTGCACTGAGCTGGTGTCAAGTATCTCCTGCTGCAGGGAGTTGTCACTACAGGGTACCAAGTGCATAAAATAAATGTTTCAGCCATCCTGAATTTGTTGGACGGTGCATTGCTAACCACCGTCTCTGCCCTCACACCAAAACCAAAATCCAAAGCCATTCACTCAAGTTAACATTTGATACAGTTGAAATGCCTGCAGTTTCTCAGCGTTAGCTGAATTAATAAGTCACAATCTTCACGGTGACCACGGATTAGCATAAATGAAAGCCATTTGATTTTATCAGGCCCCTAGGAGTTTAAAACCATAGGTCCAACAAAGCCATGTGCTCTCAATCTCAAGCCTGGAAGTGGTCCACTTTTTGCAACTACACGAGAAAGAAAGCAAGCGAGACCTCGCTGTAGTTCAAGCCCAAATGATAGATATCTCTAACGAAGAAGCTGAGGTGCAGGCCTATGCTCATTAACACTTTTCTTACAGCTAATTATTTGTTCCATCCTGCTTAAAGAGCATAGGTTACCCCAATGGTTCTCAACCTGTGAGTCATGACCCCATGGGGGGGTCACCAAAGACCGTCAGAAGACACAAATATTTACATTACAATTCATAACCACATCAAATTATAGTTGTGAGGTAGAAACAAAAATAATTTTATGGTTTTGGGGGGGTCACCATAACTTGAGGAACTGTATTAAGGGGTCACAGCATTAGGAAGGTTGAGAACCACTGAGTTATCTGGTCCATGGGTTCTCTATGGAATGGATGGTTTTAAACCTACTAGCTGTCATTTGGGAGAGTTGCCTGCACCAGGCATTGACTGAAGACTCTGTCTCTTGCCAAATGTGAAAAGCAGACAGAATTAACATAAGGATCACAGAAGTAGGGGACCCAAGGCAGTGTAGTGCTTTTCTATCAAAGCAACCACAAGCAGAGAGATAAGGCCATGAGAGAGGCTTGCACTTTTTGACCAGGTGGCAAGGGAGACACATTCAGAAGCTGCTTCCCTGACTATACTAAAGATGATGCCTGATACGGTGCAACATTGAGTTTTAAAGGCATTCTGAGTTCACTAAGAAGTATGGGGAAGGCTATCAAAACTGACACTTGCTGTGCAAACTTGACAGCCTGAGTTTGATCCCTGCCCCTGGAACCCTAGTGCAACTTTAGAACCAAAGCTGTGCTCTGATCCTAGAATGGGCGTCACACTCAGGCACAGCCACTATCACACACAATCGCAAAGAATAAAACGAGAGCAACCTTAGTGACCCACAAAGACAAGCTTGTACCCACCCATCCCAACTCATAATTTTAAAAATAATTTGAAATGTGATCAATGGGTGAATCAGGAAGCCAGGCGTTCCCTGGAACAAATATCTACCGCAGGACTAGGGCAAGAGCCCAGACTGATGGAGGAGGAAAGGGTAAGTGTGGATGGGAAACTGATTTTGTCAGCTTCCTGGATTTCATGGTTGCTGCAAGGGAATTAAAATGGGACTCAAGCTCATCATTCCCCCAGGTTCGCAGAAGTTTGAAAAAGCAAATCTTCTCTGGAAGAATGCACTTCAAATCCAACCACAGAGAATTCCAACTAATTAGCAATACATAGACTCTAGGTTCATAATTTTAGAAACCATTAAGCACAAGGGAAACACTCTATTTATAAGCGAGGGACGGTAGAGAAGCAACTACAGGACCCAAACTGCAAAGACTGCACATATGGAGATGAGCTGAGGCAGAGTATGAGCTTAGGTGAGCCACAGGGGGTCAAAAGCCCTGTAACCCCAGCGCTGTGTGTGTGTGTGTGTGTGTGTGTGTGTGTGTGTGTGTGTGTGTGTGTGTGTGTGTGTGAAGCCTGGGCTACACACAAGACTTTCCCTTGTGGACTGGAAAATAAACAGCAAGTAGCAAGCACGGCTAAGAGGTGGAGTGAGGTGAGAGGGCTATCCTCAGCCTCTGGTGATGAGTCATAAGAGCTTGTTCAACACCTACAGAGTCCGTATAATCCCAGTGCTGGGGCGAGGTGGTCATGGGAGGATCCCTGCGGCATCCTAAACAGACAATCTGGCCCAACCCATGAGCGCCAGACTCCAAAATATCTGTGTGTGGTGGCATGTGCCTACAATCCCAGCACTTGTGTGGATACAGAGATGTCAGAGTTCAAGGTTATCTTTAGCTACCTATAGAGAAAGCTCAAGGTCACCCTTCACCAAGAGGCTATGTCTCAA